TTTTCAAACCTTGCCGGTAAATATTTTTGAAATTCAGGAACACAATGAATTTAACCTTCAAATTTGAGTCGCACTGAATTTCAATCACTTCCATTTGTATATTACTGGGTACTGAGTCTATATTTATTGAGAAAATGGAAGAAAACAAACAAAATTTGTCTTCCAAAGAATTAAAATCTTTAAACCTTGTTTCAAATTCTGTTCTAAGATTCGAAATTTTTTCTGGGTATTTTTGATACGATGCAGTACCATCTAAAATAGATTTGTTCTTGTACGTTAGGAAGTGCGTTAAATCTTCATTTTTCAGTTGCCTTTCCCAAAGAAATAGTTTACATTTGAATGCTTTAATTATGTCAAACATGTTCGTAATGATCTGATCCTTGCCTTGTAACAATAAATTTAAATCGTTAAAGTATTTGGTTACATCAAAAATAGAAGATAAATCTTGCAATATTATAAAAATAATAAAGTATATTATCATTTTATATGCTAGCTTCGTTTCTAATTCACATTTCTATTTATTTTTACTTTGCGTCTGATATATTGACTGGGCCGCAAAAATGCTCATCTCGGGCCGCATGCGGGCCGCGAGTTTGACACCCCTGATTTACATGGAGATTCTTGTGCGTTCAACAATTAAATTATGCGATTATAGAATTTAATACATATGTAATGTAATTGGCTGACGTAATGCTTATGTAAAATGATGAAATACACAACAAAAATTGAAAAAAAAAACTAAATGGTCGATAAAACCTACTAATTTATTATTATTATTTTTTGTCCTACTAATTTATTATTATTTTTATTTTGATAATTTCGTTATTTATGTTCCAATTTGCTTGAATTGAAATCTACATACATCTAATAAAAAATCGCACAAATAGAAATTCGCACAAAAACAGGTTCGACTATATTCTAGCAAACAAGCTGAAACTTTTTTCCCCGGCATGATTCAGTGAGTCGATCGACTACAATCGATCCACATCGATGACAACTAACAAATAACAATCGTAAACACGACATCGTTTACTCTTTATTTTTCCTTCAACGTAACCATTTACCCTTTTTTTTTTATTCTTCCGATGATTACATGAACTTCTTTTTCTTTGTTTTGTTTTTAACTTCGTGTCCTTAATTGGTTAGTTCCCAAAAAAGAAAAGAACATCTCATAATTGTTCTGCGTGTTTTTGTTTATGCCTACTCCTCTTGAGTCCAGTGCTGGGGAATGTGGGGCAGTTATTAAGCGTACTCAATTAGTCCAGATTACCTCGGGTATTAAAAGAGTATTAGAATATGTCATTGGTGGTACATAAGACGTTCACAATTACGGTAATTTCAGACGATCGGGGATTGAAATTACCAGAGTGACTTACATTGACTCGATAACCCAAATAAATGAGTGAGGTAATCAGAGATTCATTTATTTTTCAAACTAACTGTGTTATTTATATTCTGTGAGCAGTTTTTTTTCTATTGACTACTCGGAATAATATATCGGGTTGAAATTGTTAAACAGTGGTTAGTGTGTTATATATGTTACCGTTGAAGTGTATAAATTCATTATTTCATAGAATAACTAAGCATTTTATGAAATAGCTCGACAAGTCAGCTACATCAGCTCACTGTATTATATTCTGTAAGAAGTTTTTTTTCTATTGACTACTCAGTATAATATATCGGGTTGAAATTGTTAAACAGTGTTTAGTGTGTTAGATATGTTACCGTTGAAGTGTATGAATTCAGTTATTTCACAGAATAACTAGGTATTTCATGAAATAACTAGTCAAGTCAGTTACATCACTGTGTCATATTCTGTGAGCAGTTTTTTTTTCTATTGTCAACTCAGAATGATATAGTTTATTCGATGAAATAACGAATTTCACACGCTAACAGTAACCTATAAACAAACTGTACTACTTATACCTTATACACTATAGAATACCTAGTTAAATCGTAGAATTCAATAATTTTATATACTTTAACTGGCTTGTGATGTTTTTTTATGAAATACCTAGTTATTCTATGAAAAAAGAATTTACCACTTTAACCGTAATATATAAACAAACTGTACTACTTAACTATACCTAGTTAAGTGGTAGAATTCAATAATTTGATATACTTTAACTGGCTTGCGTAGTTATTACCTATTTATTCTATGAAATAACGTATTTCTCACTTTAGCGGTAACACATAAAAAAAACTGTACCTACTACTTAATGCTGTTCTTGAAAGGCTGTGTTGTCACATGAAATAACATTTTATATATGTTAACTTGATATTTTTCATAACTGTTGTTTGTAACAGATATTCGTGATTGCTACTAATTAAATACGCTACAAAAGGTTGTTCTTTAAAGGTTCTGTCGATGTTTGAAATTGAAATAATTTAAAGCCCTCTTCAATGTTTACACTTATGATTTGAACAATAAAATAATTAATAAAGGACAAAAATGCAATAAAAAATAATTTAATAAAAAATTACAGCTTATAATTCAATATTCAACATCCTCAATGCAAGAAAAAAATAAAGAGTTACTAATTTGTTTATTTTACTGAGAAAAATTTTAATTCATCCCAAAAAATTCCCTAAAAAAATGGTAAATTATAAGCTAAATATTGAATTTACCTGTGCATTTGTTCTATACAGGGTGTTTCGCAATGACCGCTCTTAACACATGAAGTAACATAAACATGCTCACTGAGAGTCGAAAATTAAGCGATGGAACAAGAAGGCTATTTAAATCTAATGAATAACTACTGAGGAAGGCAGAATTGAAAATAGAAAATTATTTGCAGAAAGAGATAGAAAGACGCCGAAACATGGTTTTTGGAAACGCCTTAAATTTTCTCAGGTAATAAAACTGGTTTTATGTATTCCATTTTCTATTTCTCACTAGCGATTTAATAGTGGTTTTATTTCTTACACACTTAGTTATTAAATTGCAATCCATAATTGGAACACTTCTATATTTTTAATTTTTTGACAAGAATTCTAAAAACACATACTTAAGGGCGGTCATTACAGAAAACGTAGTATAAACTTCATTTATTCTTTGAAATGTTGTTAAGATTCTCATCAAGAGAAATGTATTAATTTGAGAGAAAATTAGAAAGTGAATATATTTATGCGAAAAAATGTAGCCGCTTTACGACTAACTGAAGCAATAAACCGAAAACTTGGCAGGGCAATTAAAAGAAATGTCGATGTAGCACATGACGCTGGTCGAGTATTAATTGACGTCAAAACGACGCTCATCATACATATTTTGGGTGCGATTATTCTATTTTTATGTTGATTCCAAGTACTTGGTGAAGAGTGCAAACCATGGTTACTAAACTCACAAGTAATTTGTTTTGCCATTCACACAGAGGACAGCTCTTAATGATTGTTTACGTCGCTGTTAGTAAAACGATCATTAAGTTTTAAAATAACTCAACAACAATAACGCATTTAATTAACTTAGATACGAGGAGAAATTGAAGAGGAGATATTGGTTTCAGAAAGAAAAAAACATTTAAACTCATTAATAAACGATTAAATATTTCTTGTTTAACCTGGATTTTTTCAAGGATATAAATTCTATTTTTAATTTATATCAAAAAATCCATATTATTTTAAAATCGATTAAAGAATTATATAGTAATGTAATGTAATTATAACGTAATTAATTTACTCCAATACTGTATTATTTCTCCTGTTAGTAATACGAAGATGGAGTTTTAAAATAACTCAACAACAATGATGCATTCAATCAATTTATGTAGGAGGAGAAATTGAAGAGATGTTGGTTTTAAAAAAAATATTTAAACCTCATTAATAAAAAATTAAATATTTCTTTTTTAACCAGCATTTTGTTAAGGGTATGAATGGTATTTTTTTATGTGTAACACAAAAAAGCTCTGCTATTTTTCAATTCGATTTAATTATTTAGCAATGTAATGTAATTAGTTTACTCCAATATAAATCGATAACTGAATTTTCCAGCTCTGGATATTTTTGGAAGTTCGAAATCAACTCCAAACTTGCCTCAAGCTCTATTAAAACTTCACTCAAGGCTATGAAAGTAAGGATTGTTGTTACTAACCAAATGTTAATATCAAACTACATATTTCAATTTCTTGTGCACGGTAAGTAATAAAAGTTCACACAAAAAGTACAATTAAATTATTATTTTATATTTAAACATAATTAATTTTATAATATGTTAATTTATTTTGAAAGTTATTTGTTGCGATAAAATATAATTTTAAGACTTGTCATTATATTCATTCGATAACAGCCTTTTGTTCACATGATTATAAATATGTGTCTAAATAATTTTAATGAGATTAAGGATTTCTTTATCTGCAGTTCTTAATCTAATTTATAACTAACCGGAGTCGAGCAAATTTTTTCGACTCCACATTTCGCAAAATTGTCTTCAACTTCGAATCTACAGCCCAGTTGAAATAATGCATTCTATCAACTTAGGCAATAGGTGAAATTGAAGAGGTCATATTTTACAAGTATTTTGTCTAATATTTGAATGGTATTTGTAAATTGTAAAAAAGGAAATACTTTACTTTGAAAAAAGATCTGGGCATTAATTAGCTATATAATCTTATCATATTGTAATTTGATAACTCATTTGATTTGATTAAAATAATTTTTTCTCTATTTAATGTTATTATTGAGTTAAAAAAACACTAAGTTGCATTTGTTTATTAAGCGTATACTTCACATTTTAAGTAGAATACATAAGCAAATTGATTATTTAATTGATTATTAAAAGGAAATTTTGTTTTTACGACAAGAGTTTCAGGATAAAAAATATACTTAAATAAAAACTTCAGCAATATTAACAAACAATAGTGCCATTAATAAACATTGCCAAGAAATCATGATTTTCTTTATATTTGAATTAAATAATTTAATGTAAGATTTTAATATAATATTTCTGTTTATAACAACAATAAAGTTAGATAATATTACAATTTTTTAGAGAATAAACAACTTACGTGAAACTTTTAACACTAGCTTCCTTCACAGACTCACGAAATTAACAATTCTTTCAAAATTCGTCGCCATTTGGCGACTTCTGACGCTATAATAATAGCATGAAAACAACGAAAAAGGTCAGTGAGTTCACTTAAGATATGAAAAGGCAGGGCAAAAACACTTAACTCCGATATCATTTAATGCCGAACGATCTTAAAAAGACATCTCTAAACGTATCCATGCACGCGTCTTGATTGCGAAGCGATATGCTCGTCACACCCCCACAAACACAGTTATATGTTTTCATGGTCACTGGTCATCTATGGGAGAAGGTCAAGATCATAGATTTTTTCGACCTTTCCTACCAACAATTATTTGCTTTGTCGAAACGTTGATTCGTAGCACGTTAGCCATTTTTTTTGTTTCAGTCTTAAAAGTGCAAAATCAGGAAGTCTAATCCTAGACCTATCTAATTGGTGATTGTAAAGTGTTAGTTGCTTCATCGAGAAACTAATATCTATACACATTGTTTTTCACCTCGCTGATGAGCATGGGCATGGTTAACCTATACGTGATGGCGATAATGGTTTTATACGTTCGTTCGATTGAGCTGCGACCGGGTTTTAACGCTTGGATTAGTTTCACTTAGAGCAAAAAGTCGTTAAATGGGATGAGAGAAAAAAAGGAACAGATTGTTTGAGTAATAGAGTTGCGATTGAACTGATAAATATGAAGAAACGCGAATTCGATTAAACAATATTTGCTTTGGAATTTTTAAATCTCAAATGAGTATTCATATTACATGCGGCATAAGATGACTATTCTCACTTATCCCCTGAAAATCACAGAAAAGATCAGATTTGTAAATTCAGATGCGATAAATTTAGATATAATTCAATCTGTATCGAATAACTTTACGTACACTAAAAAAAATTGAAGTGTTTAAGTTACGTTATGAGCAAAAACGACGGGTATTAAAATGAAGTTAGGACATATTTTGTATTAGATATATGAATTAAGTTAAACAACCAGAATAATTGAGGCTTATAAACTTTGTTTTGTATCGAATTTGCTCTAATTTATATCGAATAACTTTACGTATACTAAAAAAAAAAATTGAAGTGTTTAAGTTACTTTATGAGCAAAAATGACGGGTATTAAAATGACATATTTTGTATTGGATAGATGAATTAAGTTAAACAACGTGAATAATTGATGTTTATAAACATCAATAATTGATGTTATGAATGAATAATTGATGTTATAGTTGGTGTTTATAAACGTAGTTTAGTTTTATTAAAAAAATTAGGAAATTAATAAAATATAACTATTGCACTGCAGACTGGGGTTACTATGACCAAATATCGAATTTTTTAACTTTTTTTATAATACTGAAGTCAATCCTATATTTAGGGGTATTTTAGATTAAAAAAAAGGAAAGAATTTTAATTTTAAGAGATTTTATGCTTCAACGAATTTATGTGTTATTTTAGTGGACATAGTAAAATTTTTTTAAACATTGCAAGTTTTTAATTCTGAAAACTTTTTTAACCTTACAGTCGACGCACCAGGAAAGTAAAGTTTAAAGTAACTGCGAAATTAGAGTACGTAAATATGTATGGTAATAATGTCAAAATAAACATTTATTTTGCTTGCTTGATTAAAAAATATTCCTTTATTTTTTTACTAAACATTAAGCAATGCTTAGTTTTTTAGGGCTACTTTATTCATAGACTATCTTGTGTCAAAGTAGCTACCGTAACTACAAACCTCGGAAATACAACATTTTGGAACAAATAAAAGGTTTTTGTAGGTATTTTTCAAGACATTTTATTTTCACTTTATAACCGTCATTGAAGAGCCGACCCAATTTTTTGGGGGGTTTACGACTGACTTCTAATGTTCAACTCCATAGCCTTGTAGTTTTGAACCCAATCCAGAAGACAAGGGACTTTTCATGAAACTAATCCGCATTTGCGTTACACGGAGAGGAAAATTACGAGAACCACACACGGTTAACCTGACGGCAAGGGGACTCTAACTCATAATCCGTCAACCACTAAGGATATTTTACGTCAGCACTGTGGTCGGTCCAAGTCAAATGCAGAATTCGTATCGACCAGTCATCGCCGGGATTCGAACTCGGTCCCCTCATTGGAAAGCAAAAATCCTATCCCCTGAGTCATCACGGCTCTAGACAAGATAGGAATTTTGCATATTTGGATGTATATTGCGAGTAAGCAGATAATTATTTCTAAATTTTAAGCACTAAACATAATTATTTCCGGTTCTTTTCAAGCTTTTTACACGTTGCCAAACATTACAAAAATGTATTTGAATTTAAGTTTTTACAATTATAAGTGCTATGCTGGTTATTATTCAGCTAATTATTCACTGCAGTAAAGTTTGCATTATTTAAAAAAAACTAACCTTTTATGGGCCAAAAGAATCTTGGAAAATTATTCTCCTGAAATAAAAAAGGAAAGATTTGTTAATTTATGACAAATCATCATTATTTACAAATAGCATTAATTAATTAATAATATTACACGTAATATGCATTAATAATAATAGTAAACGTAATTTTCAATACAATAATGATATAATAAGAAAATTTTATTATTAATGTTACAAGTAATTTTTTTTTACAATAACTGTAATAGCTATCTTTAATGCTAATATTACAAATGTTATAATACTTATGATAGATGGCTTTCATATCAAGTAATATAATAATATTTATTAATAATATTACAAAAAACTTCCATTAGATATATTATTATTAGAGTTAATAAACAACACAGCATGATTTTTTTCTGTATTAATATAAACAGTAATAGTAAAGGTTTTAAAAAATAATTTTATACACCTGTGAATTATTTACAAAAGGGAAATTTTGAAAGTATTTTTTTAATACCTTACATTTTTCATAGGAATAAGTATAGTATTTAAAAAAGTATAGTATTTAAAAAGTTACAAATGTTTAAAAACTACATTGTTTCGATGAATTGAGTACAATAAAGATACGAAATTACTATAAATATAAAATAAGATAAGTTTGAAAAATTATAATTATTTTCCAAACTTAATGAAATAAATAATTATAATTATTAAAATTATAATTATTAAAATTATAATTATTAAAATTATAATTATGAATAATTATAATTATTAAAATTAAGTATGTGAAAATAATTATAATTATTAAAATTATAATTATGAATAATTATAATTATTAAAATTAAATATGTGAAAATAATTATAATTATTAAAATTATAATTATGAATAATTATAATTGATAAAATTAAATTTGTGAAAATAATTATAATTATTAAAATTATAATTATTTTCACCCAGTTCGTAAAATAATTCAAAAGAATAGTTAATTTAATTTTAGGATTTATGTCATTCTTACGTGCCATCTAGTTTGATTTGAATGAAAAATATCGAATTCTAAATTGAAAATAGTGTTTTAGTTTAAACTGAAAAATAAAATTATGTATCTTTTTTATATTAAAAACTAAAAAGCGAATATCATACTATAATCTTTCACAAAAATAAGAAAACAATCAATTCAATTTCTAGAACTTAATTCTGATATTGAAACCGATATTGGTACTTAATTCAGCACCAAATATCGATAACATTTAATAAAACATCCACTCAACATTCCTTTGCCAGAGTATAGCAGAGGATCTGATTCCAGAAATGGAATTTTATTTTAGGCATGTCAGGTTAAGAAAAAAGCTTATTTGATGGTACCGTTAACTCATTTGAATGTGACTGTATTTTAATAGAATTAACCTTCTTTTAATCTAATAGCCTCTAGACATAAACGTGATCCCGTTGCCAAAGTAATATTTGATTGTTCAATTGAGACGCAGACGAAATTAAATAAGATATTTTTTTTTTCTTTTGCATATTAAAAGGGATATTGAAGTCATTATATGATATCCTCAGAAAGTAGATAGGAAAGTTGAATGGCTTTTCAGAAAGTAAACGTAATACTTGGATTTATTTGAAGGAGCATACGTGTTTTACAGTTTAATTATAGTCTTTGATAAATATTCTCAGAGAATTATTATAATTCAACAGGATATAAATATTTTAAAGTTAATGCACTATAGAAAAATTCATAGATAAATAAATTTTATTTAGTAGAACTGAGCAAGTATTTACATCTTATGAGCAATATTTTCTATCTGGATATACGAACAACTAAATACACATAGATAGATAATTAAAGGTATCCAATTTCGGAAAAGCTATGCTTAACACTTAGCATGATTAAAATCAAACGAAAAATTATTGAGTTGACACATTTAGTTAAAAAATGATGCTTTTTTCCTCTTTTAATCTTACTTAAGTAAAATTCGATCATTAAATCAAGTCAAATTTGAAAATTATAATTCGAATTTGATCAAGTAAAATATGAAAATTTGATCATTGAATTGAGACGCAGCGAAGTTAAATTCGATATTTATTTCCTTCGCATGATAAAATGGATTTATAAATTATATGATATCGTCTGAAAATAGTTATAAAAGTAACATTGCGTCTCACAAAGTAAACATAATAGTTAGTTCATGTTTGAAAGCTGTTGCACTATTGCACATTCGCTAGATATTTGAATACATCAAATTTTTTAACTTAAATAGCTTAATTTATGCTCATACATACACATACAAAAGTTATGATAAAAACTTAATATGACTGAAATTATATGAAAAATATTGAATGGCAACATTTTTATTTGAAAATGATTTTTTTTTTACATTTAAACATTAGGTCTTTTGACGAGAACAATAATGGATTTAAATTTTATAATCAGTACTTTTGGCAATTTTTTACAGGCATTAGCTTAGAAGAATGTTTAATGCATTTTTCAAGTTTTCCACTAACTAAAATAATAACAAAGATTAGAAAATTCTTCAGTATATTGAAGAAAAATCTTCATTACTTCGTTTGTTTTAGTTTGTTTCGATCAACATAAACGTTATTTTTTACAACGCTTATATTAACATGTGTTCGTGTATGTCTGTTCGGGTGGAATTTTGTAATCGATTTTAAACTAACTTCCCGACTAGCTACAGACTTCAAATTTGGCACATTGTTCAGAATTGGATGACAATGCATGAAAATGTAGAGAAAGAAGACATACAAAGTAAAATAAAATTAAAACTAAAGAAAAATTAATATTTTCGCGATTGTCTTTTGTTGTCGATTCGATTATTTCAAATTAGTGTCACTTGTCAGTTGAAAAGTACAGTGAGTGAAAAAATTGAGATTTTGGAAGTGAGTACAAAAAAATAATCAAAATCAAATTTTGTACAAGAAATTAAATATAAATAATATGTTTAATATAACGTGAAAAATTTATAAAGATTTTATTTCCGATCGTTCTTTTAACAAACTTTTGGCCCTATTTATTTTAAATTGCGTCTACCTTCTATATTTAAAGGATAAAAAATCCGAATTCCTTAAAAAAAAAAAACAATTTTTTTTCGGAGAAAATAAGTTTATTATTATAAGTTACTTAAAGTATTGTCTGTACTATTTAATTTACAAATTTAAGGTCTTTCCTTGAACGGTTTAGAAGACACGTTAGTACGTTAAAATGTAAATGTTAAATAAAAAGCTCTGCACGGTAAAATATGTTTTGATAGGCAATTACTCTTTTCTTCCTTTTAAGTCAAACTTAATTCTCATTATCATCATTTACTCTTAACCTAAGTACTTAACCTATACCTAAAAAAAGTTTTAGTTATTTTTGTTTCCATACGAAAAGTTAATTTTTGGAATTTAATATATTTATTATGATGCTTTTTTTAATCAGTACTATTACTCATTTTCTATAAATCTCCTTTATAAATTTAACACAAATCGTAAAGCTTCAGCTTAATACAATATTGGCAAAAATATTATAATTTTAATAATGTTTTATCACTTTTATTTTAACATTTTTGGGGAAAATAACTTTAAAAAAAATTATGTCTATTCTATCTTAAGCAGTTTTATTCGCCAAGTTATACACAAAAGAAGTAAAAAGGTAATTAGACGTAAAACGAATTTTCTTTTCGAATCATTCATTTCATTTCAAAATTCGTAATTAATTTCTCTTCTTTCAAAACTCGAGAA